GTTTAGGGTTTAGGGTTCTAGCCCTTAGAACGGCCAGCATCGCAACCCATTCTAGGAACCCGAAAGTCTTGAAAGCTCCACGTTCCACCGCGAAGCCAAAGCAATGCCCTTCAGGTGATTAATAGAAAGGGGGCACTTGAGGCCCTGAATCGCTCAGCCTTTCTGAAAACTCCCCAAATCTAAGCCCCAAATACCAGACCTGTAGGATCTCGGGGACAGAGGGCCAAGGGTCTAGGTTGACAATTTAGAGTTTGGGCTGGAGGGCTTAGAGTTAACATAGAAGCTCACAGAAGTACCAATACTGTTTTGCAGGGTTCCTTATTGTTAGTATAGTATACTATACCCCCAAACCCTATTCTAATTATTAAGGTCCCCATGTTAAGCTACTCAGCCCGTGTTTTATGCCTGAAAAATCCTCCCCTGCGCCGGCGATGGGAAGCCGAGCTCCGGCGGCGGAGGTGCCGGAGGAGTCGAAGGGAGCTTGTGTGCTTGGTAGTTGGGTTTAGGGGTTTAGGGTTCGGGGTTTAGGGGTTTAGGGTTTAGGGGTTTAGGGTTTAGGGTTTGGGGTTTGGGGTTTGGGGTGGGGTTTAGGGGTTTGGGGTTTAGGGGTAATTATTTAGGATTGCATGATGCCCTAAACCGTAGTCTGAAATGAAGCCCGAAAATCCCTAAACCCCCCCCCAAAGCCTTGAACTTTAAAGGCCACGAACCCCAAACCCTGACGCACTAAAGCTTCTGCGAGCTCCGAGTTTCGGAGTTATATGAAAGCTAGCCTCCCGAAGGCTCGCTGCGTTTCTTCTCAACCCAAGGTTGCAACAAGGCCCGGAGCGATGAGGCACTCGGCCTCGTTTTGTGTGTGAATACGGGTTAGGGTTTAGGGTTTTAGGGTCTGGGGTTTTTGGGTTTAAGGTTCAGGGTTTAGGGTTTAGTGTTTAGGTTTTATGGGTTTAGGGGGTTCAGGGTTCAGGGTTTTGTGTGTGAAAGACGGGCCCTCGATGATGCTCATGAGGCTCGCCTGCCGGCTCCGATTGAGACCCCAGTGATACTCCTGATGCTCGCCTCATGTGTGTGTGTGTGTGTGCCCTTGCTTGCCTGTCAGATTAGGACCGTTTTTTTGGCGCATGCCGCTGCGGAGCAGACATATCGGGGGCTGAGAGTTGCTTTAACGGTTCAAGTAGCAAGTTAACCCTCCAATTAGACCCTGTAGGCTTGCAAGACTTTAACTCTATGACTGAGGACCCCTGAACCCGAAAAGATCAAAGCCACCAGCCTTACAAAGCAAGATGCTATAAACTCAAGCCCCAAATTCTGTAAGCTTTAAGCCACATCCTAGAAAGTCCGGACTTCAAACCCCTAACTGTAAGGTTGACACGCCTGAAGCAAACCAGGAGGAGGTTCCAGTGTGCCGCTTCTGCGGGGTGCGTTTGAGCACGGCCGACAGCCATGAGGTGCTGCGACATGCACGGGGCCAGGGGTGAGAAGTTGAGGGTTTTCGGGTGCCGAAGCGTTTAGAGTTTAGGGTCTAGTGTAATGAGCGTAGAGTTTACATAGGGTTACTGATTTGGGGTATTTGGGTTTGTGGTTGACAGTTTAGGGCTCTGGATTCGGGACTCAGGGTGTTTACCAACAGGGTTCAGGCTTCAGCAGGGGGAGTCGTAGCATCGGTATGAAGGGAGTGGAGAGGTTGAAGATTTGTAGGCTTAGGGGCTTTGATGTGAGTACCCTATCTCGACCCGCACACGCTGGCAGGAGCTAACAGAGCTCCTCTTTCGGCACGGCGTCCTCCGCAGTGCAAAGGCGGTAGAGGCAAAGCTGGGGACGTGAGTTTATGTTAAGAAAACCGAAGATAGGAGTCGTCATAGTTACAACAGAGTGTTGAGGTGTCTATGTCGAGTCTATGTAGTATACAGATGCCGGGGCGAAGCGGTGGACATCATTTTTGATTGCTTCAGACCGCCATCCTCCAACCTTGCAAGGCTTACGGAGCTGTGGACAGAGCCGACTTCGTTCCTGAAGGTGAGGCTCAGCTTTTCGAAGTTCGGAAGGTGCCGGTATTGAAAGTTATTCTAGGGAGTAGGGAGGGAGTAGGGTTTAGGGTTTAGGATTGGGGGAGGAAGTCTCAGTCAGGGTTTGTCAAGGTTTCGGGTCGTAGTCTCAGGATTCCTTTTGACAGCCAGGTTTAGCTTCCCCTGGATCTGGGGATTTCCTTGGAGGGTCGTTGTGAAGCTTCGTCCAGAAGGTTCGGAGGAGAAAAGGCTTCGTCCTTCGGCCTTTTTTGCTTATGGGTATTTCTCTAAATTAGGGTCCCCTTTTAGGTCCTCAATATAGTACGGCACCCTTATGAAAAGCACCCCTGAAAGGGACCCTAATTTAGGGAACTGCCCTTGTCTTGTCGGTTTCAGGGTACGAAGTTTGCCTCCGGCTGCGCAGAAGGTCGCACTAGGACTGAAAGAGCCCCCAAGTCGTTCAAGCAACTCCTATAACAGCAAGGCGCAGCAAAACCACAGGCCCTAAAACACTAAACCCTGTGCCACGTTGCAACCTAAACCCCCAAACCTTAATTTCAAAGAGCACCGTAAACTTGAAGCTCTGTCAAGCCCTACGCAAATCTTATGAAGCCCCATCCCACTCCTCCTCCTCATGCGCACCTAGTACGCCGAACCTAAACCCTAAACCCTAAACCCTAAACCCTTCCAGTTTTAGGGTTCCTTGGCATCTTGCACAGACGGAGATGCCTACCTCGATGCGGCTGCGGTGCTGGGTAGAACAGGGGCCCAGGCCCGCTGCTGTTGTGCCAGCATTTTATAATTGAGGTGTGACAGGGTGTAAATTTAGGGTATGGGACTTTGTAATAACGATTTACGTGGTTTTGACCAGGGCTTTGTAATAATCGATTGGAGTGTTGCAAGGTTTAGGGTTTGGCTGGGGTTTATTCTTTATAAACAGCGTTTTGAAGGGAGCAGGGTTTGGCTAAGGCTTAGTACAAAAGCCCAAACCACGGCTCTGGAAGGTTTCGGCACCTCATGTGCATGCCGCCGCACTGGAGTTGGTGCAGGACAAAGCCCGGCTTTTGACGTATCTAGGGTTGTGCAGGCTCTCTTTTTGCGTTTTTATAGCTATGGGCGTTTTGTTAATGGGTCGGGGCGGGCTTTATTAAGGTTTTTGAGTATGGCTTTTATGGGGTATGACAAGGGTGACGGGTTGAAGGTTCTCCATGTCCATCCTCTGTGCTGTTGCGGGAAATACAGAAACCAGTTCGGTCAACAGCCGGCTCTGCAATCCGACATGTGGCTGAGTTGTTGCAAACCACAGTAAGGGGCCAGGGTTTCAGGTTTGAGGTCTTAGGGGGCAGGATAATGTGGGTTTGCACAAATGCTGATAGTATCCCCTTCTAGTCCCAATAAACGCTAAACCCTCAACCAATATCGAGTATGTTCTACCCACCAACCGTATTCTCGTAGATCATATAACCTGAGTCGCAGGACAAGATCGCGAGCATTGACAAAGAGCGTGGCTCTCAGTGCCTTCTGAGATTTAGGTTTATGTTTTTTCGGTCTAGGTTTTAGGGGTCTCGGGTTTAGGGGTTTAGGGTTTAGGATTCAGCTAGTACTACTGCTTCTTGGCATCCCTTCATGTTAACTTCTATAGCAAGAGCACATCTTCAAGATCATCTACGATGCCTTGGCCCACTTCAGTACGGAAGATTCACCACCCCCATCCACACAAAAAAAGCACGTCAGGCCCAAGCCTCTCCAGAAAAGCTCACAAGAGCCCTGAACCTCTTCAAACCAACCCAAGAGACAACACAACACACGCCACACCATAAACCCTAAACCCTAAACCCTAAACCCTAAACCCTAAACCGTAAACCCTAAACCCTAAACCCTAAACCCTAAACCCTAAACCCTAAACCCTAAACGAACCCACAGGCCCTTTGGCCTGAATGCCTTAAACCTTCAAAACATGAAGAATAGCAATGTAGGGGCCAAAATAAATACCAATACCATTTTGGGGGCTCCTCATTATAGCTATAGTATAAGGGGCCCCAAAACCCTATTCTAATTCATAAGGCCCCGACATTTTGAAACCCGTATAGTATCCCCTTTAAGGATCCCTTGAAAGGAACCCTATTCTAACTATTAGGGCCCCTACCTTATAGAACCCCTATAGTATCCCTTATAGACCCCAAATGCCCAGAGAGGCTTCGGATCCTGGACCTGGGCTCGGGCAGCGGGTGCATGGCGGCAATGAGCCTCGGCTGGAGGGTTTGGAGGGTTTGTTTAGGGTTTAGGGTTTGAGGTTTAGGGGTTTAGGGTTTGTTCAGGGTTTAGGGTTTGAGGTTTAGGGCTGAGGGGTTTGTATGGTTTAGGGTTTGTTCAGGGTTTAGGGTTTGAGGTTTAGGGCTAAGGGTTTGTATGGTTTGGAGTTTAGGGTTTAGGGTTTATATATGGGGTTTAAGTTTTGGAGTTTACCTGACACCCTGAACCTGAATCCTGAGAAAGGCTCGCCCACCTTGTTCTCGGCCACGGACGTGTGCTGGGCTTGGAGCACATCAAGGAGCCTTCAAACGTATGATGCGGGGTTACCCGTGCCATGACACCACCAGCAGCCGTCATATCCCATCATCACCGCTTTGCTCATTACACTTCAGAGCTCCATCCTCATGTCCATCATCTCAAGCTGTCCACGCACTCATCATTATGTGCGCAGCATCACGATTGTCATGGCGACTGCCATCAGCTTCTGCATCAATGCGTTGCATTGGCTTCCCTGTAAGGCTAGTGGCTGCTTTCTTCCTTGTGGTTCTCTTGATACACGCTCTCTAACAGGTTTCGTCCGGGGGTCCAGAGAAAAGTCTTGATGCTATTTGTCAGGTCACGCTTCGGTTCAAGTGCCCAGTGGTTGAGAACTGCATTGGCGCTGTGAGCTTCTAGAGCTGCAAGTGCGGCACAACGCCATGAGTGCCAACATTCAGATTCAGCTGAATCAAACCGTGAATGCTAAACCTTAAGCCCTCATCACACTGAAGCTTTTGCTGAAAGGTCTCGTCACCACGATTCCAATAGATATCGTTTAGATCATCATTTCAGGAGCTCGCAGATGAGTCCGTTCTCAACGTGGCAAAGAACCACAGAGCCCTGCTCGTGCCGCAGCCGGCAAAGGGCTAGAGTGCCTTCATATCGTCGCAGGACACAGGTTTATGAGTCTGGGTGTTGGAGAGTTTATGGCTTGAGAGTTTAATGGGTAGTTATTAAGTGGAGTTCTATAAGTAGGGTAACTCTAGTTATAACCCATATTAGGGGATGTATTATAACTTATTATAACCCTACCTATAACTGGGTTTTTGGAGTTCAGGGTGAAAGGGCTCAAGAGTCTACTGCAGGCTGAAGCGACTCGAGCCTCCTCCTTCGAAACTCGAAGTCGGAACCCCCCCTAAGCTACTTCTTTGTTCTTTGCGGGCCTCGGCGGTTAGCTTCAAACCTAAAGAAGAAGCCTAGTCACGGAATCCGAACGCATGTTTAACCCCGAATGCTGGTGGAAACCCCCAACAAGGAGACCTAAAGCTCTAAACTCCAACAGCAACGTCTCTTTGAGGCTGATGGCACCTTAGAGCTCCGATGTCAGGATGCCCGCACACTGACGGAGGAAGCGGGGGTTGGGTTTTTATGATTTGGGATGCTGGTTTTTGGGGCTTTCGGTTTTTTTGGTTAAGGTTTTCCGGATGCAGGGCTAGGATTTTGGGTTCCAGGGTTTGGCGTCGAGCGGCCCATCATGCGACCAATAAACTCCGAGCTGCCACAAAGATACCTCAACTCCAGTGCTGTAAGAACTATTAAGCTTCTATTGCTCCAAAGGCCCGCGAAGTGCAACGCGTCTCTTCTTTGAAGTGTTTGCCCACGGTGCATGGTGTCGGGGTTCAGGAAACCCTGAGGCCATAAGCCGGAAGCCCCAAAGCACTGAACTTCCAACTCATAAAATCCACGGGAAAGAAGCGAAGAAACAGCAAACCAGTAAACCCAAGCCTTGTCGGGCCCTCTCGTTTCGACTTGAGGCTCGATCTTCGATGTTTCGTTTTTTGCATCTTCTCAGGTATAGGGCTTTAGAGTTTAGGGTTTAAGGTTTAGGGTTTAGCTTTTAGGGTCTAGGGCTTATTGTAAGATTTAGGGTTTATCGGGCAAAGTGTTTAGGGTGGAGGCTGAGATCTTAGGGTTCGGGCGTAAGGGTGTGAGTTAGGGCTGCTCTGCTGTCATAAGCAACGAATTTAAACCCCAAAGCCCCGACATCATCGACCAAGAGCCGCTTGGTGTGGATGCCGGACATCCCGCGGCGCGAAGCCCTTGAACCCATAAAGCTTCAAACCCGGAACCTCGAAAACCCTAAACCCTGAAACCCTAAACACCATGCCCTAAAACCCTAAAGCCCTAAAGACGGAATCCCGGAACCCACAAGCCCAGACTACGAATGCTTTGTCCCCCTAAAGCCATTCATCTCCGAAGTCCCGCACCTTTAGACAGCCTTAGGGCGAGACCGTTGTCCGTGTAAGGGTTATCATCATGGGAGCATTGTGTAAACGACATGAACTCTTTCAAGGGTTGGCTTTAACTGAGATCTTTAGAACACGATCAAAGCCGTTGCAGGGCAATCTACACGAGACCCTGTGAACCCAAGGGGCTGAATGGCCAGTACTAACATCCCCTGAGTCATTCTACAATAGTACCATGATTTACACCAGAGTTCTATTCTGATTGCTGAGGCCCCCTAGATTACATGAGTTCTGTAAGAAGAACCCAGAAGGACGATAACCGCTTTCACATCGTTCACTGTGGAGCCGCCTTGGAGGGGCCTGAGGCGGGGGGCGTCTGCATGGTTTGATTCGGAGTCATGTGGGTTTCACGGGTCCGAACACCGCTCACCCTTCTCTGCCAGCCAAACCTTCCCAAACCCCGAAACTGTCAACCCAAAACCCTAAACCCTGAAGCCAAAATCCAAACCCTAAACCCCAAACCCTATAAGCCTTAAACCCAACAAAAAACAAAAAAAACGAAGCCCAAACCCCTCTGCCAGCCCTGGCTGCTGAAACTCCTGCGCCCGGGTGGCCGGGCGGTGGCTCCCATCGGCACGGCAGACACTCCGCAGTGGCTGCTTGGCTGTGGGTTCTCGTTTCCGTGGAATTTTATTTGGGGTTGAAGGTTCAGTTTTCAGGGGTTTGAGTTGCCATATAATATGCTGTATACCCCGATTTATGGTGACTCAAGTTTGGTTACTTACCCCTAAGGGTGCTTTGAACAGCACTGACGGTCGAAGCGGGGAAACGTTTGCATTTCTTCGTTAAATCAGGCACGTGGCTTGTGACTCAAGCTTTACAACTTTAAGGACGGCAGGAATGAACTGCCAACCATAGGAAGACGTTTGATGATTCCTAGGCCCTTTGCCTTGGAGATGACTGAGGCAGATAGATCTTTGATCCACTAACTGAGGCTCAGCAGCATCGATTACCCTGAGGAAGGCGAGCCAATCGTAGAAAAACACCTCCGTGGGGCACTGAGCTACTGACTGAATTGGGGCTGTCTTTGTTTGTCGGCTTCTTGCTTGCTGTTTCCTTGATTCAACTTCCATCGTCTCGTTTAGGGCTTCAACTTCGATCGTGGTCAATAGTGTTTTGGACTCTTTCCTGGGCATGACCGGTGTAAGGAGTGTTTGGCTTGGAGCGTTGTCGGGGTTTTTCGAGAAAGCAGCAAACCAACTCTCACCATATTGGCATAGTTGCCTTGCTGAAGAGGAGTTGTATAAAATAAGTCGATTTCGACCCTTCCCAAGACCAGGTATTTCTTGGCAGCGACGACAGGTTTCAATGCGTTCGCCAACCCCAATCCCTGAATACCGCATCGCGAGATCCTGAATGAAGAAATACCGTGGACATCCGAAGCCTAACTGCAATTCATTAACAAGCAAGCAACAGAAGGTGTGCTGTATGTCCCAATGACCTCGGAGGAGGTTCGATTGCTTTCTAAGGTTGAGGCTTGAGGGCCTAGGGCTTAGGATGTAGGGTGGGGGTTTTGCGTATAATGGCTCGGGATTTGGCATTAAGGATCTAGGGTTTGGGTGTGGTGGTTTGGGCTTTAGGGTTTACGATTCGGAGAAGTGTGCGGACCTGTAGACATACCGGAGTCGCGGACGTTGCTCGGAGGGGTCTCTCGACATGAGGGCTCAACACTGCAGAAGTCCAGGGGAAGCCTTCTTTCAGGACTTCATGAGGGTTCTTTCATGTTCTCTCAGGGTAAAAGGATTCTACAGGGATTGTCTAAAGCTTCCATAGCGGCTCGACCTGGGATGCTCCTCGTATTCGTCGTAGTTTATCATACGGTAGCTTGTGATCCTGACCCAGTGCCTGGTCCATCACTGGCTTCACTTTCTGGCCTTGGCCTGGATCCTACTGTTAGGGGCCTTAGTAGTTGCCTATGTTACTTTGGGGGTTCCGAATTATATTTTTTGTATAAGGGTCCCAGAACCCTTTTGTTTTTTTTTTTTTTCTGGGCTCCTATATGAGGGTGCCGGAACCAGGTTCCGGTCCTACATTACGACTATCCACGGTAGCAAGAAGATAGCGGTAATGCTACTGTAGGAACTTGCTTAAGATGCCCCGTGGCTGCTGCAACCTTAGCCGAGTTGGTTCTACACTTGTAAACTCTACTTAATTGCTTAAATCCTAAACCCTGAACCCTACAGCCTAAACCCTAAACTACTTCCCGATACGCTCAAATTGTAAGCCCTAAGCCCGAATGGCAGTCCTTAGCTCTATATCCCCGCAAGGCCGATAGTCCTCCAGACCCCATAACTTCTAAACCGTAAGCCCTTAACCCTTAACTCTTGACCGTGAACGCCTGACTAACCACAAACCCTGAACCCTAAACCCTAAACCCTTAAGTATCCTGAACCCTAAACCCTAGACCCTAAACCCTTAAATCCTAAAAGCCGAACCCCAAATGCTAAAGTCATCTTGCCGTCAGGACCAACGATCTCGGGGAGCTGCCTGGGAAGATGTCGTGGCCAGGCCAAGTGGATCGGAGTGCTACTGACCCTCAGCACCCCTAAACCCAATCCCTAAAACCCTGAAACCCTAAACTCCTAAAGCCTTAAATCCTAAGCCCTAAACCCTTTTGCCCTCAACCCCTACGCCCTAAACCCCGAAACCCTTAAATCCTAAACCCTTAAATCCTAAACTCGAAACTCCCTAAACCCTAAACCCGCATCTCCAGCCCCGGAAGCCGAACACCAAGATCTCGATGCTTAGCCACAACACCCGGAAGCCCTTACTATAAGGGCCTTAATACTTAGAATAGGGTTTTGGGGGGTTCCTTTATTATGATTATAGTATCATGGGCCCCAAAACCCCTGTTCCAATGATTAAGGCCCCTCTAGTACCTCTGTAGACCCAGAGTTGCGTCTTTGGAGGTTGGGGAGCGCAGAGTTAGAGTTAGAGCAGATGAGATAAGCATGCAGGTTGGGCGCGGTGACAAACAGACAGGTGATGATTAGGTTTTTAGGGTTTAGGATTTTGGGGTTTAGGGTTTAGGGGTTTAGGGTTTTTTCTTAGGGGTTTAGGAGATTGGGATTTGCTTGTTGTAGGTGTTTCGGGGTTTACATGGGGTTGGGGAATTCCTACAGCGCCTAAACTCCACTCTCTGAAGCCTGGGAAGGTGCGTTCGGAACTCAGCAGATCTGCCCCCGCCGAACCGGCCGTAGCCCTCGAGCGGCTCTCCGAGATTTCTTTCCGAAGTTCCCAGTCCGAGTCGGTTTTTCGTCGGTTGGGGCAAGGGTCAAGTGCAAGGCGTTGATTTATGAAGGTTTGTGGGTTTAGGTCGTAGGTTTTTTTTTTTTTTTTT